TTAAATTCCCGATCAAACTGATCCGACCTTCATGTCGAAGAGCATCACTGGTGTCAAGCACTGTGTCCTAAGGCTACGATCCAGAGACCAGACAGCAAGAGGCTGCAGTCTTCAACACTAAAGAGGGCACGTCAGGCCAAAACCACCACCAAACACAGTCTTGTGAATTAGCGTCCCAGGTTCAGACAGTCCACATAGAAGTCTACTGTAACATCCTGCGGCATCTGAGGCAGATCATTGAGTGCAAACAGCCTGAACTCTGGTGTGTGCCAACAGGCGCATATTGTTTTGACTGCATCAGCACAGTTGTCTCTCTCAGACCACCTTTCATAAACAGATTTGGCTTCTTGCCACTTCTTCCTCTACTTCAAAATGAAATTCTGAAATAGCCGATCTGACGAGGTGGAGGAGACCCAGCACATGCTGCACATGGTTCTTCCAGAGAGTGTTCCAAACGTGGCAGGAACGCTTGGAGCAGTGATTCACTGCAGAAGAGGACTGTTTGAAGGGATTACTGGTAAACTTTAAATTAGGCCCAGGTTTGAATGTTTGGAGGTGCAGTCTGTGAACCTTCTGATTACATGTCATGTTTCTACACAGGATGAGTTGCAGCCACGTTTTCAGTCATCTGTATCTTCTGTTACTTGCAGAATAGATGCACTCCTCTGTTCATCAATCCAACTGTCTACAAAGGCTCTCTGCTTTCCTGAATTTTACACATGTAACTTGTGTATTGAGCTCTGAACTCTTCCAAAACACAGGCAACTGGCAGCTTCTGTGCCCCAACACATCCTGTGTAGACACAGTTTGAGCACCAGAGCTGCTGCTGCTGCTCGCAGCACTCCCAGCGCTTTGTGGCAACAGTTTACTGAAGGCTCTGTCTTGTTTAGACATGAAATCAATTCCCTCTTGCACAAAGAGAAATTCCTCCAGGAATGGTTATCCCAGTTTAGTTTGGAGGAGCTCGACTGGCCTGTAAAGAGCCCTGACCTCGATCCGGTGTGCACCTTTGGGAAGAGCTTACATTCAGACGGCGAGCCAAGCGTCTAGCTGCAACACCAAACATAAGTGACTGACCATAAAATCCTGTGGAAGGCCTGAAAACAAAAGGGTGTACGCTCCAGCTGGAGAACATTGGCCGTGGTTCAGGGATGAGATGAGTGTCGTCTACAGGTGTCCATAGACTTGATTCCTTTGCCCGGAGGTGTTGTGTCAGGCTTCTGGTGGCAGATGTGATATAATAATTGCAAGAATTGGTAGAAGTAGTAGTAAAAGCAGCATTACTACTGCGTTTTTTTTGTGTGTGTTGTTTGTGTGTCTGTGTGCGTTTCCTCTTATTGCGTCACCACTGATCTCAGTAGAGTCAGGCAGTGGAGCCTCGGGCTGTTCTGTTCCGTGTGGCGTCTGGGGAGAATCGGTCTATATGTGAATGTGTAAAAAGTGTTTGTGTGTGTGTGTGTGTGTGTGTCTCATTGTAAACACACTCTTTGTGAAGAAAAGACGTTGTTTTTCTTTCATGCATTTTCTCTTCTGTTTCACGCTGCCGTTTGTTTACCTGGATCTTCTTTAAGATAAACTCCCTTTCAGCACCGGTTGCCGTCAAGAACATGTCCAGTATATTAAGTGTGTGCTGAACGCCGCAGTGTTTGTTTGTGTTTGTGTGTGTGGTGGAGAATGTAAATATAAGCGTACTGTGGCAATGAATATCTATGTGTCAGTGGTTCTATGGCAACGTAGCTTCCATCTCTTCTGCAGGATGAAAACTAGCCCTTTGCAGCGGCATGTAGAGAAAGGAAACTGTCGGTCTGATGTCTGCTTCCAACATGAAGAACTTTATTTAATGTGTTTACCTGCATCTTGGTCGTCTCCCCATCCCCCCGTAGTTACTGTTGCTATGCTTGCCAAGCTCGGCCTTCTAGTGTCCTACATATGCAGCTTACGGCCCATTCAGAATTCAGGTAGTTTCTCACACAATGATTCTTTAATTTCTCACAGTTGTAGACGCAAGCAAACACAAGCTGTTAACAGCATGTTTTTGTCCCTCTATGAAGATTCTCAGTCGTCCAGGTCATGGTTGTTCTCATAGTTTAATCGTAGTTCCTTGAAGACGTTCCACCTCTCATCCAAGAGGCTTCATCAGTTCAGACTGACTAGTTGGGAGTTCCAGATACTTACATCCTTAAGGGGCCATTAACACCTGATGAAGCCTCTTGGATGAGAGGTGAAACGTCTTCAAGGAACTCAAACGCAATTAATCTACAAGAATATTTTTCTCAGCTGTAGCTAACCAGAGCTGCAACAGTAAATGGATTATTCCATAGATCCAGGTCAACTATTCAATTAACTGACACCTATTTTGATATCTGATTAATCAGCCTGAGTCAGTTTGAAAAAAAAAAAAAAAATCTTCTTAAAATATGAATATATTCTAGTATCTTTACTCCTCTATGATTCACAATCATAACATCTTCGGGTTGTGGACAAAATAAGACATTTGATGACATCATTTCTGGATATACCAATCTGCATTTTCACCATTTTATCAACCAAACAGCTGATTGATTATTCAGGAAAAAGAAATAAACAGATAAATCGACATAGAACATCATTTTTAATTGCAGCCTTATAATAGCGAACTAATTACTAGCTACAGGAGTGTTAACTTCTCTAGTTTCATTGATCTATTGCGACATGAGTCACGATTTCTGTGAGAAAGGTACATTTTGCATTTCTATTCCATCGAAAAAAAAGGTGTAAAACTGATGATATGATCTTTTTCTGCAGTGTGAACAAAACAGGCATTGTCCCTTGCATCTGCAGAATATGATTTATAGACTGTAGCATCTCTGTAGCACCACAGTGCCTCATTTAAATTTTGTGACTCATTTTACCTTCAGCAAAAAGTTGTAGCTCCTGCGATTCGGATATTGCACCTGTCGGTATTGCAAATTCTATAATTTTTCGATTCATTGCTCAGCACTGGTACAGAACTGCTAATATTAGCCTATAGCATCCTGTGTTAAAGTCCCCACATACTTCCAAGTGTCTCCTGTAGCGTCCCTTCCATAGTTTAGGAGTAATAAGGAGGTTTAAAGTGAGGCAACCGTTGTTTGGTGAAACTGATGCAAAGTGTTGTAAGAAACGAGGCACGGTAATCCAGTTCACTGTATATGCAAATGCTAATTCTGTTTTTTTCAAACACCACTTCAACACAGACCCATCCATTATCCATACACCACTTTAACCTCTGCAGGGTCACAGGGGGATGGAGCCTGTCCCAGCTGAGACGGGGTTCATCCTGGACAGATCCACTTCAACATGTAGAGCGAAATTACAAAGCTTGACAATCCTGCAGAGCCCAGTTACAGAGTTGCTAAGCTATGACTGAACAATCACTGTTCAGGGAGGGTTTTAGCCAACGGTCAGCTGAAAATGGATCTGATTCTGTAATAAAATAATAAAACTGAACCACAGATTGAGTTCAGTGCAACGTTTTGATTATATTCCACACAAGCATCGTGTATCTGTTTGGGCAGAGCGTGTGACTGACGGTCCTGGACATGTGATAAGTGAAACACCACAGACCCGATGTTGATGAAACTTCAGGGAGTCATGCTTCACACCGCTCTGGCATTTTCAAAATTACTGTGTTTGGCCCAAGGTGGGAGCAGCAATTACCTGGCAAACATTTTAATAACCAGTCATATCTCACATACTGCTGGGGGGGAATAAAACGAACCTTGGAGCGCATATCCAACTATCCATGCTCTACAAATTTGTCTCCAGGGCCAACAGTTTGCAACATATTGAATTTACCACTGTTTTGAGTTGTTTCAAAAACCTGTTTGCCCCCCAGGCCTTTACTTTTATTATTTATTTACTGATCACTGTGGGAGTCGCTGCCTCATTTGTGCCTTGCTTCTAATATGGGGCTATCACAAATGTTAAAATAAAAATTCAAACCAAGCCATTAAATATATTCCTTTTTGTCACATGAAAGATTTCTAACTGATTTGTTTCAGCCACGGCTCCCAGTGTCTTAATAGGAAGAGTGCAATGAAACAGCTTTTCACTGTAAACTTTCAACCCCAAGGTTTGTCAAGTGTGGTTATCGCACATCCTTTCAACACAGTGGCACTAATGCTTTTAATCCTCTGCAGAGGTCTCCAAATGCACTTAATAGTGCTCTACGTAAGACTTTTACATTAAAAAAAAAAGTATACCTTTCACCTAGCCTTTTATGTTAATAACTACGTGGGCCTGCAGTAGGCAGCAACACCCAGTTCTCACTGAGGAGTTAAAATTTAGAAGCAGATGCCTCCAAAACACTGCTGTTATCTCGCGGCTCTTAACCGTTCGCTTCGTCTTTTGCCCCTGATCATGCAGGTTGAGGTTTTAGTGTGGATATTAATAGTTTTTCCTTCTCTGATAGTTTCATTTGAAGGCTTTTTAGAAACTTGGCAAGATACAAACATCTAGTATTTCATATTAAAGAAGCAAAAAACACACACAGGCTGTAAAATAAAAGCCATAAATGTTGGGAAAGAACTCATCTTTACTGTCTTCACACCAACCTGATTAAAATTCTGATAGAAATCTGTGACTTCAGGCCACCAGCAAGCAAAACTGTTTAACTCAGTGGAACCACATGTCGTCCCTCCATCGTAAGGAGCATAAGGACATTTTATTTAAATGTGTTTTGAATATGATTCTTGTGTGCAAGTTTTTCATAATATTATGTTTCACCTTCACTAAACAGGAAATGTTGTTGTTTTTTGAACCAGCTGTTGTTGTGCCTCTCCTCTGTTAGCATATCTTACTTATTGTTATTTTCCAATTAGACTCGATATCACTGAGAGTACAGTCGACCCTCAGTGACCTCTGGAGTATAAACAGTAGTATAATGAAATCATGTTTACTGCGTTGTCTTGATGTCTGCTCTGAAGCTTGTACAAACCAGCGTTCGTTCAGCTCTAAGTGTTTGTTTGCGTGTCTTACAGAACATCCCGGCGCTACCTTGCGGTAAAGCCCTCTACTCCTACGAGGGCAAGGAACCCGGCGACCTGCAGTTTTCCAAGGGTGACATCATCATCCTGCGGCGCAAGGTGGACGACAACTGGTACCACGGCGAGCTCAACGGTTGCCACGGTTTCCTGCCTGCCAGCTACATCCAGCTGCTGCGTCCCCTGAGCCAAACTCCACCACAGGGCAAAGCGTTGTACGACTTTGAGGTCAAAGACAAAGACCAGGATAAAGACTGTCTGGCCTTCAGCAAGGTAGGACACACACACACACACACACACACGCTGTAGACACAGTCACCTGAGGACACTGTTTTCATATCACACGCAGGATAAACAGCTGAAATATGGACAGACTGCGTGGCTGAATCAGTGGAGAGATTTAAGGGATTGATGGATTTACAGCAGCAACAATGCTGTAATAGTAAGAAAACACTCATCCGTAGTGTTGGAGTAGTTCTTTGTAAGACACTAATAATTTATTGGCCCTGACTCTACACTTCAGAGTGGTTTGCAGAAATATAAATCTCAAAAAGGGTGAAAAATCGAAGCTCAACTAACAAATATAACCTGCGTGCTGCTGCTGCTGCTGCTACGAGTGCTGCTTTTTTTACTAATTCAAAATGACATCAAATGGAAATATCTGCGTTATTGCCAGGAAGTCCTGTGATCAGCTAAAGTGGATGGAATCAGAAGGGACGTGTTTTCTTAGTGATGGCGCAGAAGCTTGTGCATCTGTTGACATTTTTTTTAAAAAAGTAGGAAATGGGCAGAACACATAGAATCAAAGTCCACACACACACTGACGACTCCTTTGTTTTACCGTGTTATGGATTTATTTGAAGCTGGAGCGAGTGTAGAGTTTTGCTTTATTCTGTCTTATTTTAACAATTTACACGCTTTTGGTTTTAAAGCTGAATTTTTCATCAGCGTGAGTCGATGTTTTTGGATGCGAGGGGTTGCCAGTGTGGAGATAACTGCAGCTGCTGCCCACAGATTTTCCCGGGCATTACCCGTCTCCAGGAGGCTGGAGATGGTTTTAAGGCCGACTCTGATGTTTTTTTGGAATGAAAATTCCGGCAACAAAAATTCTCTGTTGTCATATTCAAATTTTCTACTATTTGTAAGCCAAGACGGTATTTACATCTCGATGAGGCTTAACAACACGGAATAATCACAGTTTATTTGCTGTTTAATTCTAATCTAATCTAATCTTTTCTTGTAGATTTGTTGTTGTGTTTTTTTTTTAGGCACAGCTGCAGAGTAAACTCCATTAAGTAAAACCACATGGGGTTTTTTATGGTCGGATGTGAAAGCAATAATAAAAACATTTTCCAAAGCAAAGGTCGGAGAGGAACCGCTATCTTCAGAGTGTTGCTGTTAACCAAACCCCAGCGTAGGACCTAAACGTAGCGGGTCAAAATGAGTAGCGCTGATAGAGATCTGAGCACTATTAGTTCTAATGTGGTGCATCATCTTCACTGCAGGAGAAAAATGTGCTTTTACAGGAGACAGAAAGTGTGAGGGCAAGAAAAAGGACATCTGCTCCTGCTTTATTTGACCATCTTGCTAATTGGTGGAGCATCGTGCTGCTGCCAGTGATGGTGTCTCTCTTCCTTTTAAGGTCAAACACATTTAGGATCAGGATTAATGACCCTCCGGACTGACGGTCTTCAGGTTTTTTTTTTTTAATCGATCACTTTCTGTTTTTGAGAGCAGGGGTGCCGTTTTCTGCGTCTCAATCTTGTCGATCTTAAAGACCCCCCAACATATAAGACGGAGATAACGTGATGGTTCGAAATAAGCCCCATTTGTCGACGGAACCCCCTAAAATTATACTTTTGCGAAGGACGGAAACGGGAGAGATAAAGGCGGAATGAGAGTCAGTCCTTCACAAGTTTGCACCCAGGTTGGGTTTGGTAAACAGTAATTTGTATTCTCTGTGCTGTTGTGTTCCTCAAAGCTTATCATTTTGTTCCTGCTGTTACACAGGCTCATTTGTGCTAGGACTGATCGCTCAACACCTCCGCTCTGTCTCCGCGCTCTGAGTGTGTCTGCAGAGAGGGAAAGATTATTAAATTACAGTGTACTGTTCTCCTCGGCGACGGCATCTCAAGACTGATCGCCCTAATGTAAAGCGGAGACCTTGCTCCAAAGACGCCGCGTCCAGATTAACGGCGACACGTCGATAGTTCACGTTGTTTTTACATTTTTTGGGGCTAAACTAATCAACAGGTTAATGATTGAAGATTAGGCGGCGCTGTACAGTCGCGCAGAGGCACGTTCCCCCGTGGCGTGCTATATGCGTGTTGTCATGCAGAACCAGTGTGTGTGATATTGTTTGCTCAGTGTGAGAGGTAATTACTCAGTATGACTAATACACAGTCATTTACTGGCATTATCACTTCCATCCCATAACGGTCTAACCAGGACCTCCGTGTGAGGAGCGGCAGAGGGGAAGGATATTTTTTTCACGATAAAGTCTGCCGCTGGTGTGTGCAGTGAGCAACGAAAGACGATATATCCTCATGTGTGTCAGCTGCAATATTCCATCAGATACACAATGTACATATACGGCAGGGCAAAAGTGAGAATATAAGCATGTTGATCTATGCCCCGCTTTCAAGTTGAGATCTCAAACAGTATTGTATCCGTTATACACGGCTGATAGCTCAGGTGGAACGTAAAGAAGCTCAGGGTGTGGTAGGAACGACTGTTGGTTGGTGTAAAGCTGGTATAAGATGCAGCTGCTTGCGTCTTAACAGGTAAAACAAAGTGTGATCACGTGAAACCAGCGTTGGCCTTCTTCTGTTGGATTCCTCTCGATTTTAAGATTTTATTTCTTGTTTTTACAGTTTTAAAGGCACCACCTTGTTTTACAGCACTGAAGTCCACCAACCAGAGTCACTTGGATGTTCCAGACAGTCGAGCCTTTAAATGGGCTTCTCCTGATCTCTGGAACAATTAATACGTCTCCATTTGCTTTAGATAATCTTAATTCACTGCTAAACTTCTTGTTGGTTTTGGATTCCAGTGGAGCTTGACTTTATTCCTTATATCATCTTTTTGTTATTTTATTGTCTCTTTATTCAGATCCGTCTTTCCGTCACGGTTGAACTCTTGTTGGTTTTTCATGTGTTTTATGAATAAATCTGACTTGACTTAAGTTGGCACATAAACGCCTGCCTTTGCTCAGACTGTTAAGCCCAGGTGCCAAGTCACGGAAATAAAAAAGGAAAGACGTATGCATCGGTATTCACCTTGTCCTGAGGCAGTATTATATTTACCAAACCAGTTTTAGCTCGCATTTTTTTTGAAAGATTTGAACATTTCAAAACTGTACTCAGCTGCCACAAACCCCTATGGAACCACCTCAGCAGCATCGTCGTAGTCGCAAATGACAAGAAATAGTGCTTGTTTTGTTTTAAACGCCTAAACATATCCGATCTTTAAGAGTCTTTAAGCAAAACGGATTGAAGCAGCGGAAAATATCATGAACTGAGTGAACTGAAGCTGGTGAAGGAACAACATTTGAAATAAAAGAACGGAAACATTCTGAAACCAGTAACCTCCCTTAAATTCATACTGTTAAACCGATTCTTTAGTTGGAAGCCCAAGAACAACCTGGAGAACTCATCAGTTCACAGAATTTATTTAGGTCACAGGTAAAGTGAGGCAGCGCTGGGCTCAGAGCGACAGGAATCTATCAGACGGAGCCCCGATATCCAGAAATGATTCACATTTATCTTCTTTGGCTGGGCCTGCCCCAAACAGAACAGAACCGAGTATAATAGGCCAGTTACCAATGACGTGGACAGGCGTACCTCATTCACGCTCTGTCCACATTCTCGATATGTGGTAGGCATCATCTGTGGATCTAAAGAAATAATCCTAACTGATAGAATAGAGGAGCTTCAGTTGTCTCCTAGTCTGTAGACCAGTTCTAAGCGGCCATGTTAGCTTCTACTGAGCTCAGTAGAAAAAAACGGATCATAGGTTCAGTGGAGAAATCCAGATTCAGAATACGTGATAGCTCTAAACTAATTATAATGATATGTATGCCTTGAAAAGTGTTGCACCCTGCAGTTAAGGGGTTAACACTCACGGGAATATCAGTGCATCTCCATAAAACAAGTGGCTCTGATGCTGCTGCTGTCAACCTGTTGGATTTGACTAAAATGAACTCTATGAAAGGCTGAATGAAGGTTTTGTTTTGTTTTTTTTATGTGTTTTTTGTACAATTTCAATTACTAGCAGTGTATTCTTTTATCCAGCCCTGCTTTATTAAGCATGAGTTATGTTGGTCCTGACATTTTTGGGTCTATTATCCAAATCATTCCGGTGTGATGGGGGTTTTTTGTATTTGTTTTGTAATACTTTTGATCATTTAAAGCTGTTGTATCTGATTTGAAATTTAAGAATGTGTATCTGTTATATGTATTTGTCCTTCATACATTTATCATTTTAACATTTATTTCATTTGAGCGGACTTATTCAAGGCTTGGATTTTATGGCTTGTGCAGGTATAGCTCCACAAGTGTGATGTTTGCCATCTACTTTGTATTATCCAACACCCACCTACAACTCTGTCTGACTGGTTACGCATCACGATTAATCACACATCGACAGCGAAGGATAAATGCTGAAAAGTTTTTGATTGCAAATGTATTTCCAGATATTGGTTATCGTATTCCTTGATTACGAATGATCAGCCAACCTCTCGTGTTTATTATCAATTCTTAGCTGTCAGTCCAACATAAGCAAATGTAGAACGTTTTTACAGCCCGAGATTGTAAAAAAATAATAATTTGACAATTTTGACAACAAAGATGCTTCAACAAAGCAGGAAAAAAAAAACCTCTTGGACATTAAAATGTATTTTTACAATGCTTTGGCAAGGTTCAATCAAAAGCCTGTGTTTAAAAAAAAACAGTAAAAATCATAATTTATAAATTGCTTCATTTTTTCAAGGCACATCGAACAAAAACCTTTTTTTTCTGCAGCAATTCAGCAGTAATTAAATATCTATTATTTGGGCAAATACAGTGAAGCTACAGCGTGGCTTTGTGTTTCTGTGTCGTCTCATTCATTTCCTCTCTCTCCAGGATGAGGTGCTGACAGTAATCAGACGAGTAGATGAGAACTGGGCAGAAGGCATGCTGGGAGACAAGATTGGCATCTTCCCCATTCTCTATGTGGAGGTAAACTGACACACAAACACGGAAAGCTGCAGAAGCAACAGGGATGTTGCAGCGGAGCACCTGTCTTACATAAATCACCATTTATCATGCTGCCACTTTGAGACTAGAGGCAGAAAGCGCGGCCGTTCAATGGGAGAAAGTATAGTCTGCCTACTTGGAGGAAAAAATAAGGTAAACATTTGTTCTATGGGTAGAATGCTTTGATCCATTCTGTCCATTGAAAGGGTGCCAAAGACGGTTTTTAGTGCCGTCTGGTTTCCTCATCGTTCACAGAAGTGGGAGCTGACGAAGTGATTTTTGTCACAGAAAGAAAAATGAATCAATGGAATAAGCATTAAAGACTAAATATCATCATCCTGACAATTAATGTTTCCTCATGTCAAATATATTTGAACTTATTTGTGTGTTAATCCAGTTGTACTTGTTACCAAAGGTGCTTAGCTTTTGTCTAAACTCACTGGCGGTGGTAGCTGGTGATGTATGATTTATTTTTTTGGTTCTTTTAGCTTCGATGCTGCAAGTACTGAGAATTCAGCTTCACTTTAAAGTCGGCATGTACGGAAGAGATTGTTGAATCTCCTTGGCTCTCAGCTGATTGTGAAGAGTTGTAAGATCTCCAGTATTAATGATGATTCTGAGGTTTTAACATTAGAATTTCCCTCAGATGGCAGCAGGGTTGTGTGCCGTGTTAATCGTAAGTCCCACAACCAGGGAAATCCACAGAGGGGTCTCACACTGTTTCAGAAAGATCAGTGGTTCCCATACACTGATTTATCTGTGGTTGCCCGCCTCAATATCAACAATCACCGCCGCGTATTGATTTTCCATTTTATTTACTATTTAAAAGGAGTAAAATCTTATTTCACTGTGGAGCTGCTCCCCCACTCTCGCTGCCTCTCTGTTCTACAAACACATCGACAACAGACCCGTCTGTAACGGGCCTTCCTCTCTGCACACTCTGAATGAAGACGTGTGCAGGAGGAACGGCTGCTGTTGGCTTTTTCCTCCAGAACGGAATCAATCTCGAACTCACAAACCGTTCAATTGAGTTATTATAAGCGTTTAAGGTGCCGTGTTGCCTCTCCAGGTCTGTAGCTTCTGACTGTGGACGGCAGACTCTGGTTTTAAGCTGTGACCTCACTGTAAGTCCTCTTTTATAGCCGCTAACTACAGTCCAGACCACCTCTGCAGTGATGAGGAGAAACGTTGTTGGAACATTGCACGAACTAGGCCTTTATTTCCTTTTGCAGTGAACATGGTATGCAACATTTGAAAAACTGTTAGCCTGACATTTGGGGATGATAGTAACTTAATCACCTTTCCACATCCAAGTGTCCACAAGGATGTTATTAATCCGGCCAAGTCTGCGAGGCTCTGCACAAACTCTCTACATCTAGGCCCAAATTTGTGACTGGACTGTCCTCGCTGCATGCCAACTGAGTTTTAACTGAAGACGTTACAGCCAGACTTTGGCGGTGCTTTAAGAAGTCCCAGATTCTCCAGAAATCTATCTGTTAAGGGTGACACACCTCAGGAAAAATCACACTGACTCTGGTGTAAAACGTTCATCCACAAGGACCTCATGTGTGACCTCATGTGTTTTTTCTGCTTTCTAAGTTCACATTGATCTGGAAACACTGACAAAAAAGGCATTGAACTCCAGCTGGGAGTTCTTATTAGCACACGCTTTGAAATGCATTTTACAGTTTAATTATCGTCGTAGCTTCTCATTTTATTTTTTTTGCTTTTTGCAGGATCTGGGACGAGCCATTTATTTTGGGAACATTTTTAAATGGGACATGTAGAAGAAAATTATTTTGATGAAATATCATGATTTCTAGCTTAGATTTGGGTAATTTTCCCAGCAGAATCACATTTCATGCATAATTTGTTGGAGGAAGCTGAGAAAGTTAAACACGATTCTTTTTGTTTTTACAGCTTTTGTTAAATGGTGTAATTTTGACGATTTTTTTAAGATAACGTGCCGTTTCAAACCCACTGGCGGATTTGGGGGGGTTCAGAAGGTTAAACTGCATTTTGGTTCCACACTATGCCTTCAGGCGCAGTTGGTAGCACTGTTGCCTCACAGCTAGAAGGTCGCCGGTTCGTGTCCCGGTGAGGATCTTTCTGCATGTTCTCCCCGTGCAGCGTGGGTTCTCTCCGGGTTCTCTGGCTTCCTCCCACAGTCCAAAAACATGTTGAGGTTAATTGGTGATGCTAAATTGTCCGTAGGTGTGAATGTGAGTGTGCTTGGTTGTCTGTCTCTAAGTGTAGCCCTGTGATAGACTGGTTACCTGTCCAGGTGAACCTGCCTTCACCCTGAGTCAGCTGGGATAGACTCCAGCCCCCCACGACCCTAGTGAGGATTAAGCGGTGTATAGATGATGGATGGATGGATGGATGGGCTCTGCCTTCGAATCAGGATATGTGGATACGATATTTTGATATCTGGTTTATCTGGACGTAACCAAACATATGCAGTCAATAGCTCCAGAAATGCAAATAACATCAGTAATGCTGTTTGAACCGTAGTCGTATTTTCTTTAAGAGATTTCCTCTCAGTAAAAAGGCTAAAACCCCACAACACCCCAAACATTTTACTGTCTTTCATAGTGCCACGCCTGTCAAGAGTGAAATATATTTTACTTTAATCCCTGAAAAAAAAAAAGATATCATGCACAGTTTACTCTGGATCACATTTAGGGCTTTTAAGCCTTGGTTTAAAAAAAAAAAAAAGGCATTGGTGGAAAGTGTGTTTTCTTCTTTTCTCTACCCATCACCGCAAATTTGTGAACACACTGATTCTCTCATGGCCCTGTCAAAAACAAATGATGAAACCTTCAGAACTGACAGGAGATTCGCTCAAGCTGGGAAGTATTTTTGTGTGTGTGTGTGTGACTGTCATGACAATACGACTGCCATGAGGTCAGATCCACTTACCGGCTGCATTGTGCGTTAGTGTACTGCAGCTTAGAGAAATTTATTAAGGTAGAGATTAGCGGCAGGAAGTAATTAATGGGATGGCTCGTGCTCTATGCTGCTTTTAAACATTATATTGCTTTTCTTGTTTATTTGCTATTAACGCAGCGTATGTTCGACAACAAGCGCTCACTTTTACAACAAAATGCACGCGTTAACGTCCGCATCTATAAAACGGTGCATATTAAATCGCTGCTCTGCTTGTTTTTTCCTCCTGTTTTTGTTATCCTTTAATCATACCGCCCTCTCTACACACTCTTTGTCTCTCTCGCTCTCTTTCTCTCTGCCGGGGTCTGCAGGCTCGGACTCTTGGCTACACAATCATGTCCCCGAAATTAGCTTTTTGGCCAAACGGCTCTCTTAGGTGATGGTGATTAAGCCGTAGACTGAACAAGGTTGGGACAAACACACACAGACACTCAGGGGCTCCTATTAGATAGAGATGCATCAATAATTTAGACCTCTCCATCACTCTGTCACAGTGGGGGTAGAGGGGCATGTCGAGTGTGCGTTTGTGTGTGTGTGTCTGCAGCGAGAAGCTAATGAGGAGGGCCCAGATGGAACCGCTGCTGATCAGTTAGTGGGTGTGTGTGTGCGTGTGTGTGTGTGTGTGTGTGTGTGTGTGTGTGAATATGAAGTACCGTTGAAGCTGTTGCTTAGATATGAATGCTGCTCGTGTCAATACTCAGTCAAATCTCTTGGCTACATTTCATGGGATGCTTGTGAAATGATTCCCAGTAACTACCTTTGAAGCTCACATGCTTCAGACCAAAGACAGTAGTACGGTCAAGAAATGCAAGGGGCCATGTGGACGGCTACATGTTGCTGAAGATAGTTGTGGAGAGTCCATCCATCCATCCATCAATTATCTATACACCGCTTAATCCTCACTAGGCTCGTGGGGGGCTGGAGTCTATCCCAGCTGACACCCTGGACAGGTAACCAGTCTACAGACAACCAAGCACACTCACATTCACACCTACGGACAATTTACAATCACCAATTAACCTCAGCATGATTCTGGACTGTGGGAGGAAGCTGGAGAACCCGGAGAGAACCTATGCTGCACGGGGAGAACATGGAGACTTCACGCAGAAAGATCCCGGGTGTCCTCAACGGGACTGCGAACTGGCAACCTTCTAGCTGCGAGGCAACAGTGCTAACCACTGCCCACCTTGCAGCCCACTGGGTCAAATCTCTTGGCTAAATTTCATGGGATGCTTGTGAAATGAAGCTTTGAAACAAGGATCCATGTGGACGGATACATGTTTCTGAAGATCGTTGTGGAGAGTCCAGTTTGTCTAATTTATCTGTGTTTGAATTATGGCCGAACAAAAGATCACTGAGAAGTTTTTCTGCAGTACATGTTGCTGTATGAAAAAAATCCAGGAACTTTCAGCGGATGGCTTGAATAACTGCACTTGAAAAGAGTTAACCACTCGAGAACGATTGGGCTGTTTTTTGTTCGGGAGTGCATCTGCTTCAAAAATAACGTCATCCGGCAAAGATATCCAAAACAGTTTTTTACTTTGGATGGTATTCAAACCTGGCTTTGCACTCATACACAGCGCTACGGTGTTGAATTAAGTGGAAATTAGACCTTGTGTAGTCGTAACAAATCAAAATTCACTGCTGACAAAGGACCTGTTTTTGCCCAACATCGTCCTTTCTGATTTCTGATTCTCTTTCCATTCAGCTGATGTGTTTCTTTCAGCAACCGAGTCTCCTTTTTCAGTACTTCTCTGCTGTTCCTCGCTCGTCTTGCTGTGCACACATGGAGCCTGCATGTCAACAAACCCTGCGTCTTGTAAACAAAGTGAAATAAAAAATATCATATCCGAGAACCCTTAAACTGGAGCGATGATGCTCTATCAGACAGATGTCTCTTACGGATTAGTCACGGGGTTTTCTTTTTGTACCGAGCAGCATCGCAGTATTGATGCTGCTGAAACAATAGATTGTGCAGATCTGGAGGCCAAAGCAGTACACAGATGTTAATGTGATAATACATTGACTGTGAT